CCTGCAATGTAAACATGCAGTTTCTTTGAAACTGCTATGTTTACATCTGGAGGGTTAAAACCTGGGGGACCTGGCACCCAGACCACTTCATTGAGCTGAAGTGGTCTGGGTGACTATAGTGGTCCTTTAATGGGTGTGTGTTGAGTTATTTTGAGGGGACAGCAAATTTACACTGTTATACAGGTTGTACACTTACTACTTTACATTGTACCAGAGTGTCATTTCTTCAGTGTTGACCCATGAAAGGATATAATAAAATATTTATAAAAATGTGAGGGGTGTACTCACTTTTGTGAAATAATGTATGTGTTGTAAGTCTAGAATAAGACCACCCTCCTTCATTATCAATGTGTTTAACTTGTTGTCACGCCTTTTATCTTTTTATATCATATTTTTTAAATTTGTTTTTGAACCACTCGTGCCTTACCTATAAAACAGTAAATCTAAATGATTCTTAGCCTTTTTAAAGGAGATATCCAGGAGTAACAAGGCACAAGACCTCCAAATATTTTACCAGCCATATTATATTACTAAAGGATACAAATTTTTCAACTTTACACTCCGCCCCATATGCATTAATTTGCATATTTAATTTGAACTGAAGGAAGTGATGTCACAGCACAATATCACTTCCTATTCCATGGAATGAAAATACACATTAGTCAATGCTGCAAACAATATAGTTTCACACCATTAAAAAGCTTCAGTTTGTTTACATTTTATCTTTTTGCTAATTGTGCCTAATTAGAGTAATTATACCTTGAGAAAGCTGAACTTGCTCAGGTGAAACAATGAGCAGTTCTTGTGTCAGACAAATGGTCACAGCATTATATATCGGCAGCAAACTACACCGTTTGACTATTAAACTCTGTTATACAGTAAAATCACTTCAATTTCCTGATATAAATAAATGGAAGTCTAATTAATTATCATACTGCAGATCCTCTGGTGTGTTCACACAATCATTTGGTGGGTCTGCCAATTATAATTTGCTAATTACCCCACACACCTGCTTGTCCATAACCAGTTTCAGCTGCTGTATATTCCAAAAATTCCTGTCAAACTGTTTAACTGCTGATGTCCCCTGTCTGGTTATCCATAACTGGTGTCATTTTTCCTGGCCCTCTCCCAGTTCCCAAAGGTGTAATGTTGGGCACCCTGGCATTCTGCATTATAGCACAAAGCACTGGCATTTAATAACCAGCATCTTACACATCTGCTTTTTCCCATGCTCTACCTCTGTCCTGGAAGATGGGCAGGGAATGTTGTCCGTAACGCCATTTTGTTTACATATTAGCATTACGGACAATATTACCTGCCCATCTTGTGGGACAGAGGTAGAACATGGAAAAGAGAAGACATACAAGTCTGTCCATTAAATAGGTAGGTCACTCGTCAAAGGCTGCTGACCCACACATCAAGGGGCAGGTTGACCCCTAAAAAGGGTGGCAGAGGGAAAGCATTGGATTGGTTAAAATTGCCAAAGAGTTCTGGCCAATCAGCACCTCCTTATTGAATCAATGCATCTCCATGCAGAGGGTGGAGATGCTGAATGGCAGTTCTGCCTACTGTGCAGCACTGCCCCAGGAAGCACCTCCAGTGGCCATCTGAGAAGTGGCCACTGGAGGTCTCTAGGGGCAATGTAAACACTGCCTTTCTCTGAAAAGACAGTGTTTGCATGAAATCCCTGAAGGGATTGATTCTACTCCGCAGGACAACTACAATAAGCTGTAGTTGATGTGGTGACTATAATGTCCCTTTAAATCAACTTTTGTCAATCCACATCCTGATCTGGAGCCCACTGATTGTAATTACTGTTTAGGTAATGAAGAAATATGACAAAAATAGCATTTGAGAGTATTCTGTTCGTTTTACTATTTGGATTATGACGGGAATGAGTGTTAAGACAGCAGTCAGGCTGGCACTGAATATTGTGGTTATTTGACGAGCAGGGAGTGAGTGGGAGATGACTAATGGTATACAGAGACATTACATTAATAATTAGGTTACATAGCATGGCCTATAAGATGCTTCAGTGGAGGTTTCTGTACTAATTCAAATTACATTGCTTATAATAAGGAAGCGTTTTTGACACTGTGCATCTTTATTCTTGCTTGCCGATTAATAGAATTAATTTGCTAAAGAGAACATTAGGATCTTATACTGAGAGGGGTGGGCCCATACATATCTGAGTCTGCAAGACACACTCATTATTAACCAGTCTGATGCTGGAACTCCTATGAATCAGATGGGGTACATGAGAGGAAAATAACAATTGGGGGGCATGCAGAAATATCAGATTATAAGCAGTGACCACTTAACAGCTACGGCTGATGGAATATCACAAAGATTGACTGCACTTTAATGTAATGAAATACTTTAACAGGTCACAAATACTATGAGTGGGAGCACAATAGAGATTACTTACTAGGCACGTGCAAACATTTATTTTAAGGGATTCATCTGAATAAAATTCCTGTTAATAATTTGCATCCGCATTGTTTTACCTGTAGATTTATCGGTGACGTCTGCAGGTGAGATCAATTTGTAATTGATTCATTCCTCTATCATCTAACACGGATTATATTCCGACAAATGGTTTCAGATGATTTTTTGCAAATTACTATTATTTATTAAAAAAGTGAATTGTGGCTATTTGAAAACTTAATGTACCAGATGCAGGCTTGGGTTGCTAAGCATATATTTTCATTAAATAACACTACAGGGTCAGGAACAGAAACATGTGTTCCTAACCCTATAGTGTTAAAACCACCATCTAGCCCTCTGCTCCCCCCTAGACCCCTTGCCTACCTAAATAAAGTAAAATATTACTTGTATTCAAGTATGCAGATGCTGCCCCTGTCCCTGATCTGCCTGTTTGGCTGACATCATCAGAAGTTACTTTCTGAGCAAATCACAATGCTTTCCCATAGATTTGGCTGACACTGTCAAGGAGGCAGATCAGGGGCAGAGCCAGCACAAGTCAAACACAACCCTGCCAATCAGCATCTCCTCATAGATATGCATTAAATCAATGCATCTCTATGAGTGAAGTTTAGTGTCTGCATGTAGAACATGGAGACACTAAGAGGCAGTCACACTGTGCAGCACTGCCCCGGGAAGCACCTCTAGTAGCCATCTGAGGAGTGGCCAGTGGAGGTATCCCTAGGCTGTAATGTAAACACTGCATTTTTCTCTGAAATGACAGTGTTTACTGCAAAAGCCTGTAGTGAAAGATTATATTGAACAGAACAAATACAATAAGCAGTAGTTGTTCTGGTGACTATAGTGCCCCTTTAATTCAGACACTGAGAGGGGAAGTAGGGATGTCTATCTCCCTGTTCTCAAAGGTTTAATATTGGACACCCTACCTTTCTATAAATGAAATCTCTATTACTACAAAAGCATTACTGAATCCTTACATTTTAAAGGGCCACTATATACATTAGGATATCACATTAACCAAAACAGTTTAAAACAAAGGAGTTTACGTAATATTTATGGATAAACTTTTAAATGATTTAATATATTTGGATCAACTTTTCAAATTATTTATCTATAAAAATCCCCAGAGACTATAATAATTTCTGAAGATAAATCATTGGAAAAGCTTATAAAGAAATATTAAATCAAGACCTAAATCAGTCCCTAAAGTAGGAGTATATAGGACTATAAACATGTTTAATTGCTGGTTTCAGCCTCTATAACCATCTTTCTGCTACGATGATATCATAATGTGGTTGATGGATTTTGCGTTTTTTAATTTATTTTTTTGCACACCGAAAAATACCTTTCCTGTTTGTATATAGAGGCACGTCTGCTAAAAACCAAACTGGGAAGGAATTTTCTAGAGAGCGATTACAGGCCATCAGAGGAAAAGAAATCGCAGATATTTCAAATTTTTAAAAATTCCCCCAAATGTCTTGAAACATCACTTTAAAATGCATTCTTATCATTAAGGCCTTTATTTGACATTGTTGGATAAGATTTTCAAGTTATATAATTTTTTTGGATAAACGTCTAAATTATTTAATATTCTGAACAAAAATATTTTAGTTTTATATTTTCATATTTTTTTGATAAACTGATTTTATTTTATATCTTCATATTTTGAAAAAATAATATTAAAAGTTCAGTCAAAAATATGAAATCATTTGAAAAGCTTATCCAACAATATTAAATCGAGGCCCACAGTGAGTGCATTATTTCCAAAAAGGATGTTATTTTAAAGTGATATGTCAAAAAAAGAAATTTGGGGGATTTTAAAATTTGGATTATCTGCATTTATTTTCTTGCGATGCCTGGGGAGCAGGAGTACAGCGGACAATACTCAACAGCCTACACGATAATATTTTGATTTCGGGGGACGCCATGAAAATTTTTCTTAATCCTAGTCTGAGTGGCAATGGATAATCTTTCTTGCTTACTTGGAAGGATGTTTTAAACTAAAAAATAAAGCTGTAACTACCTTCAGGTGAAGGAAGATTATATTGTAGCAGATGGAAGTAAGACTATCTCTGAAAATTAAGTGGCTGTCATTCAGTACGTTTTTAATTTCCCATGAACCAGGTGTCAATGTAACCGTTGACTTCTAAAGATAATGTGAATGCTCTCTTTCTCTGGACAGTCGTCTTACTATCCTGAGACAAACAAGTCCAAGTAATGAGCACAGTAAACTCAGGCCGCAATAGGTTGAGCACGAATTAATCTCCATCTAAGGAGTGTTTTCCCATTAATACCATTTGTTTACAATTAATACCTTAGAGGAAACACATACAGGGTTACTCGTTAAAAAGAGAATTGTTGATAATCTAAAATTAATTTTTATATTTAGAGCCAAAGTAGCCCAAACTGTAAGCCACTCTACTTTTTTATTTTGGCTATTTTGACTTTCAAATTTGAAACTCACTTTTAATTTCTAACCAGTCTTACTTTAGTAGATAACCCTAAAGATTAGAATGAAATGACATTTTGGACTCTACCTACGGTAGGAAATCTTAGGGACTCCGGATGTTGTGGATTACATCTCCCCTGGTGCTTTGCCAGCATTATGGGAGATGTAGACCACAACATCTGGAGTCCCGAAGGTTTCCGACTCATGGTTGGGTGATGATAAAAGTGAAGAATTCCCTTACCTGGAGTGCACAGAAAAAAAATATTTTGTTTTAATATATATTTCTTTCTTACGATTTTTTTAGGGCTCTGTGTTTTGGAAAGCTAAATGTTAAAGTTCTCTGGGCACTATAACCACTTCAGTGCACTGTAGCAGTTATGGTGGCAGGAGTATTCAGGTGCTGTCCTCTGGTGATCTGTCAAACTGACACCTGCTGTCTTTTTGGCTTATTCTGCTCTGATAAAGCAGACATTAATACTGACACATTATCATACTAACCCATACCAGGTTTAAACAGTATTCATTGTCTGACGGGGAAAGCGCATGGCTTTTAGCCAATAAATACTGTAACTCTGCCTTCAGAAATAGTCTTTGCTTCATTTTATAGCATGACAAAAGCTATCTGATCATTTCCTAATCAGCTTTGTAGTTTTCATTCAGATCTATAGCAAACCTTGGGCATCAAGCATCATCAGAGAGCTTAAAAGGACACTCCACTGCCCAAATACAAAAAATAAACAAACCCTCTCTATAGTAAGTATACCCCCAATGAAAACATGCATTTTATTGTGCATTTTTTTAGTTGGGGGTATATATTAAGAACAGCTTGCAAAAACTGAAGATCTCTTGTCTGCAGCTTTTACAAGTCCTCCCCTTCTAACCCCGCCCACACTCTCTGTGACTGTCCAATCACAGACTTCCCAGTGCAGCTCAATGAGAAGTCTTTGCAAGGCAGGCACTCTGGGCAATTGCTGCCTTTAGAGTTAATATCTACTGAGCTAAACAACCAGGAAGTAACATGACAAGTTATCTGATTGACAGCCCGGAGGCTTAATTTTAAAAAGTGTCAATTGCTATTGATATCTGCACTTTTTGTAAAATTAAAAAAAGAGGAAAAACTCTTCACACAAAGCATACAACAAGCTAAACTGCTTTAGGTGTTTGGAGTGTCCCTTTAAATAACCTGTTTCTTGCACAGTTAAAGGACCATTAGAGGCACCCAGACCACTTCAGCTCAATGAAGTGGTCCGGGTGCCAGGTCCCTATAGTTTTAACCCTGCAGCTGAAAACATAGCAGTTTCAGAGAGGGTTTAACCTGCCTTTAGTGGCTGTCTCGCTGACGTCGGCAGGAGGAGGAGAGGTCACCAGCACTGAGGGAGCCCGGCGCTGGATTACGGTCACCCCTTCAGTCCAGCGGGAGGGGGGCCATGAGGGTGGGGGGGAACTTTCACTTTAAAAGTTGAACGTTTCCTACAGGTAGGATTTAAAGGATAAGGATAGGACTACGTCCAAGTGGCCATTAGTGGCATTACGCTTGGCTGGATAAACATCTTCTTGTCATCCAACTCGGCTTATATACAAAATTAAATACGCTTGACAGACAAGTGTAGTGCCAGGAAAATGAGTTTGTTTTCCTGGCACTATAGTGGTCCTTTAAAAAGCTGGGAGCTACTTTGTAAATCATAGACTGATTTAACTACCGGCATATGATCTCTCCAGCCTTTAGATTGTTCATCAGTAACTGTTACTGAGGGTTTGGAAAATGTGATACAATTCCGAGATGGCTGCCTCCATGTTGCTATACTGACTGATCTTCACATGGTAACTAAGCTAGGTGTACCGAGGTAAATCACATTAATCTATCTGAATTATTTTCATTTATTTGTGTAAATACATTTCCAGTTGACAGCATCACAATTCAAACTATGTACTTTATTTGTGCCGGTTTTGTTTTGTGCTTTTTCTTCCTCGTCCTTTTTCTCGTTTATTTATCTTTTTCTATATTCTCTCGGTTCACGCAGTTTTCTCTTAACTCCATTCTACTATTCTTGTTTCTTTTCGTTTTATCAGAATGTCAAACGCATATGAGAGTATCAATACTCCTGTTGTCTCTCATACATGATATTGTATTCCGTAAAACGCTTATTTCTGAGTAGGTGTATAGCTATGCTTTTCCTTTCACTTTAAAAGTTGAACATTTCCTACAGGTAGGATTTAAAGGATAAGGATAGGACTACGTCCAAGTGGCCATTAGTGGCATTACGCTTGGCTGGATAAACATCTTCTTGTCATCCAACCCGGCTTATATACAAAATTAAATACGCTTGACAGACAAGTGTGACGAACATAGAATCTCACCTCACCGAAAGACATATTGCATTACATAAATTCCAAACGCTATTAAAATAAATGTTTGGAATAATTTGGTGTGCTAAACCATTTTTTTTGGCTTCCTCGCACCTTTGAAATGACTAAGTATTAAAAATTAATATTCGGCACATTACTTACTGAGAGATACCAATGTTCTCTGGTAGGAAGCCGTCAGGACGCATACATGAATAGAGAGTTAAATCTCACAGAGAAATCCCTCCCTGGGATTATCTGTTCTATCAAGATAGGAAAACTTTGCAGATGCTCCTGTCTCTCCAGAGGAATAAAAGCTTGCATTTTAATATTCTCAGCAGCTGGTTTCCTTTGAATACCATTGGGATGATTCAGCCACCCACCAGATTCTGTAGCATGTGTACACACAGAGAAAAAAAAACTCCTGCCCTGTCTCGAAAACCTACTGGAAAGTCCAAAAGTTGGCTGTTCCCTTGGCAATGTCAAGAGAGGAAAGAGAACTCACCCAAGAGATTGGATGGTGCCTGGTTTGATATCTTACCTATAGGCATCATCGCAGCCCTGATACAGTAGGCCTCTGATCTTCAATCGATGGACTTTGCCATTCGGAAGTACTGAGTGACTAATGCTGTGCTCATCAGGGTTTCAAATTCCACACAACTGACTCTTCCAGCAAGCCAATAACTGGATGATGCACTAAGAGTAGTTCTTTGGCATTTCACACTCTGCTAACTGTCAATTTCTGGAAATTCTGGACACATTTCCTATTGATATTCACTATATAAAGCTATCTATGCAATTCCCTCTGCACCACCAAAGGTAAAAGTGGGGCAAAGTGCTATAAGATGCCATAATATGCAAACGTTCTAAATGATACCCCATGATTTATTATCACTTACTCTAATATATCACACAGTTCCACAACAATACATGTCATGGTTATGTGTATGAGTATCACAAAGCTCCACGTCATAGAGCTCCAATAACATTCTCAGTGAAGCACAGTGTGTAATAGTAGCTCTACAGGAATAACACTCACAGTAATGTACAGTGCGTATTAGTGTATCACAGAGCTTCACTGTTATAAAACTCACAGTAATGTACAGTGTGTATTAGTGTATCACAGAGCTTCACTGTTATAAAACTCACAGTAATGTACAGTGTGTATTAGTGTATCACAGAGCTTCACTGTTATAAAACTCACAGTAACATACAGTGTGTATTAGTGTATCACAAAGCTTCACTGTTATAAAACTCACAGTAATGTACAGTGTGTATTAGTGTATCACAGAGCTTCACTGTTATAAAACTCACAGTAATGTACAGTGTGTATTAGTGTATCACAGAGCTTCACTGTTATAAAACTCACAGTAATGTACAGTGTGTATTAGTGTATCACAGAGCTTCACTGTTATAAAACTCACAGTAATGTACAGTGTGTATTAGTGTATCACAGAGCTTCACTGTTATAAAACTCACAGTAACGTACAGTGTGTATTAGTGTATCACAGAGCTTCACTGTTATAAAACTCACAGTAATGTACAGTGTGTATTAGTGTATCACAGAGCTTCACTGTTATAAAACTCACAGTAATGTACAGTGTGTATTAGTGTATCACAGAGCTTCACTGTTATAAAACTCACAGTAACGTACAGTGTGTATTAGTGTATCACAGAGCTTCACTGTTATAAAACTCACAGTAATGTACAGTGTGTATTAGTGTATCACAGAGCTTCACTGTTATAAAACTCACAGTAATGTACAGTGTGTATTAGTGTATCACAGAGCTTCACTGGAATAAAACTCACAGTAACGTACAGTGTGTATTAGTGTATCACAGAGCTTCACTGTTATAAAACTCACAGTAATGTACAGTGTGTATTAGTGTATCACAGAGCTTCACTGTTATAAAACTCACAGTAATGTACAGTGTGTATTAGTGTATCACAGAGCTTCACTGTTATAAAACTCACAGTAACGTACAGTGTGTATTAGTGTATCACAGAGCTTCACTGGAATAAAACTCACAGTATTGTACACTGTGTATTAGTGTATCACAGAGCTTCACTGGAATAAAACTCACAGTATTGTACAGTGTGTATTAGTGTATCACAGAGCTTCACTGTTATAAAACTCACAGTATTGTACAGTGTGTATTAGTGTATCACAGAGCTTCACTGGAATAACACTCACAGTAATGTACAGTGTGTATTAGTGTATCACAGAGCTTCACTGTTATAAAACTTACAGTAATGTACAGTGTGTATTAGTGTATCACAGAGCTTCACTGTTATAAAACTCACAGTAACATACAGTGTGTATTAGTGTATCACAAAGCTTCACTGTTATAAAACTCACAGTAATGTAGAGTGTGTATTAGTGTATCACAGAGCTTCACTGTTATAAAACTCACAGTAATGTACAGTGTGTATTAGTGTATCACAGAGCTTCACTGTTATAAAACTCACAGTAACGTACAGTGTGTATTAGTGTATCACAGAGCTTCACTGTTATAAAACTCACAGTAATGTACAGTGTGTATTAGTTTATCATAGAGCTTCACTGGAATAAAACTCACAGTAACGTACAGTGTGTATTAGTTTATCACAGAGCTTCTCTGTTATAAAACTCACAGTAACGTACAGTGTGTATTAGTTTATCACAGAGCTTCACTGGAATAAAACTCACAGTAACGTACAGTGTGTATTAGTGTATCACAGAGCTTCTCTGTTATAAAACTCACAGTAACGTACAGTGTGTATTAGTGTATCACAGAGCTTCACTGGAATAAAACTCACAGTAATGTAGAGTGTGTATTAGTTTATCACAGAGCTTCTCTGTTATA